CCTCCACACTCATCTGGAAAATGAGATGGGATTTCTGAGGTCCCTTTCAATTCTGACAGCCCCTAATTATCCCGGAACAGGAATGAGATAGGTTGGCAAGCTTGCCGGGGAAGGAAAGGAATAGCCCACCGTATTTTGTGAGTCAGGCAGAGAACAGGGCAGTGAGTATGTCAAACCCAACAGAAGCTGCTGCGTTACTTGGGTCCAGGACCAAGCCAGAGCTTCTTTTAGAATCCAGGCTAAGCTTCCTCCGTCCCAGGGGCAACGATGTGAAATTCTCCAAACTACTATGCGTATGGGTGGTAGCGGGGTAGGGTTGGAGTTAAGAGGACACCCCAGACCTGATTGTGCCTTTTGTTAGAGAAAACAAACAAACATCCCGCAATTTTTATTACACAAGTACAATGTGTTTATTGTAGAAACTTTAGGAAACACAAATTAACAAAAAGAAAGAAAAATCACTTGTAATCCCTGTCCCCAGAGACAAATCCATTTTGCACCTATTTTTCTGAATTTTCTTTTATGCATAGGAACCTTCACACATATAAATTTGTTTACAATAAAGGGAGCAAATCATGCCTAATGTTTGTTAACCTCCTCATTACTGAAATAATTGTGAACATATTATCTTGTATATTGTATACACATTCCAATTTCATATATTATTTTACAATATATCTTAATATAGTGTGTTATAATAGATTTTAAAAAGAATGTTATACTGATAGTGACCATTTAATGAGGGCTTCCTGTGTCAGGCACTGTACTGAATACTCTGCATGTATTATCTCATTTAAAATTTACAGCAAGTTAGTTTCCTTTTAAAAATAAGGAAACTGGGCTTCCTTGGTGGCGCAGTGGTTGAGAGTCCGCCTGCTGATGCAGGGGACGCGGGTTCGTGCCCCGGTCCGGGAAGATCCCACATGCCGCGGAGCGGCTGGGCCCGTGAGCCGTGGCCGCGGAGCCTGCGCGTCCGGAGCCTGTGCTCCATAACGGGAGAGGCCCGCATACCGCAAAAAAAAAAAAAAAAAAAAACCTAAAAATAAGGAAACTGAGGCTGAAAGAGTTAAGAAATTTCCCGTAAACCACACAGCAAGTTAGTAGTAGAGTTTGAATTTCAACTCAGGTCTGGCTGATTTCAAAGCATATGCTCTTAATCAATGCATTTTTCATACCATGGTGCTTATCAGTTGCACAATATTTAACAAAACCACTCCTGTTGAACATTATTGCTCTTTTTAACCATGCTGCTCTGGTCTTCCATGAACATATGTAGTTTTCATGTGTGTTTCCAATTATTTCTCAGGATAAATGCCTGAAAATGGAATTCTTGATCCAAAAGGTATAGATCTGGTGTTAATCGGTTGCTTTCTATATTCACTTTTATCCTACCTGACAGTGAATGTGAGCATGCTGGAAACTTACTTCCAATGCAGCGGATACAAGGGCTACCATCTGGTCTTCCGCCCCCAGAGCGGCTTCACCTGCGTGTCCCCCTGCAGTGAGGGCTACTGTGAAAACGGAGGCCAGTGCCAGCACCTGCCCGATGGGCCCCGCTGCAGGTGGGTGGGGCTGGGGGCAGGAGGCAGAGGGCAGTGCTGGGAATCCAAGCTGCAAGGGGTCGGGAAATGCCATGGTACCTCATGGTGTCTGCAAATTTAGGATGGCTCCGTTTGTAATTAAGAGAAAAGGGATCAGAGGGAAAAGGGACAATGGAAAAGAAGATGTGTGCATGCCTAACCTGTGCGGATGAAAAAGTTGCTATATTACCTATGCAACTCAAACCAGCTACTGTGTAGATATTATGACCACTTTAAGGATGAGAAAACTGCAGCTTAGAGACGATGAGGAATCTGCCTAAGGTACCCAGCAAGTTAAGTAACAGGATCGGGGTTCCAAAGCCACACCCTCCCACCTGATTTTGCTTCTTGGGTGGACAGCTTGCTGCCTCATTGTGGAAAAGGAGCCCATTGTCTTGTGTCTAGGCCCGGCCCTGCCCCTCCTTAAGAGTAACAGGGGAGGCCCTCTCAAACTGGCGCCCTCTGTCCCACCGGTTCATCAGCAGTCTGAGCAGTCCTCTCATCCCGTGAGAGGAGTGCACTAGGTCGCAGGCCTGCCATGGAGAGGGGCAGCGCCACCTGGGCCCTCTTGTCACATCAGTGCCTTCCGTCTACGCTTGTTCCCACTGCAGTTGCAGATGGGCCCAGCCCTCTCCGCTCCTGAGTCCAAGGAGGGGGCGGGTGGAGCCTAGCACCGGACCCCAGCTCTCCGGGGGCAGGCAGGGTTTGTGACTGCGCATGCTCACCTGCAGCCAGCCCCGCCCCCTCCCCGAAGTCCCTGTGGAAGCGACCTTAGATGACTTCACCACCCCCTCCCCCATCCCCGCCCTCCTTGGTAGCCCAGTGGCCTCCCCTCAGCTCCAAGTCAGGGCTGACTCCGCCCCTTCCCTAGAGGGGATCCGAGCCTATCGTGGAAAACCTCCTCTGGCCCGACAGAGAGGAGGGATGGGGAGGCCGAGTAACCTGCTGACTGTGTCCCCTCTCTCTGTCCCCAGCTGTGAGCCCTTCTCCATCTACACGCCCTGGGGCAAGCGCTGTGAGCACCTGAGTTTGAAACTCGGCGCCTTCTTCGGGATCCTTTTCGGGGCCCTGGGCGCCCTCCTGCTGCTGGGGGTCTTGCTGTTTGTGTTCCTGCACTTCTGGGGCTGCTTCGGGAGCCGTTTCTCCTACCTGCTGGGCTCCGAAAGCTGAGGCTTTCGAACGGGCTGCGGTGGTTTATGATACCTCAGGAGCTACCCCAGCCTCACCTGCACACACTTCCAGGCGTCATGGTTTAGGGAGCCTGGAAAAAGTAAGGTGACTGATGCGTACACAGGATTCTTTAAGAAGAATGAATAATGGGAATGAATAATAAAGACCACACCTTGTCAGAACAGGAGACACAGAGGCTGAAAGGAAGAGGCCATAAAGGCCTACTACATAAATAGATGGATTCTCACACAAACATACCCACACAGAGGACACTGACCTACAGAAACACTACGTGCACACACCAGAGTTGATGGGGTGATGGCTCTAAATTAAAAACCAAAATACATTTGCACACAAAAGTCTCCAGTTTACTTCTAATTAAAGTTTATTTAAATAAAATCCCTCTGACTTTTTGTGTTCCCAAAGCCATGGATTTCATTCATGATTTTCCTCTGGTGGCTAAAGGGCCTGATACAGAGGGTGGAGGGAGCAGAGGTCGGTTGGACCCAGTCCTGCTTCAGCCCTCAGTTACTCTATGTTGGGAAGCTCGGTTACTCCAGCCCAGACTTGGATCTTTGCTTCAGTCTCCACATTCCCTTCTTCCCCTCCCCCCAACACAAGCCAAGGCCTGGCCCTCTGAGGAGAATGGTAAGAATACCCCCATATGGAGTATCCCCAACTCTCTCCCAGGACCCCTCCCTGCCTTGCTGGTCTCTGCCCATCAGTTTCAAGAGGATAAGTATGCAGTGCTTTTTCCTATCTGGAGTGTTCCCTGGAGGAAGGATTAAATCATTTCAGCTCCCTTTCCAGGAACCACCCCATCCTTAGATCTAGGGTACCCAACCCCTGATACATTTTCTCTGTCCTTTCCTGGGCCCCAGTTGGAGTCTTTTGAGCTGCTCCACCCCGTAGTCCCTCAGTCCCACTCTCTCTGCTTTTCCCAAGAACCTGATCAGTTTCCACCTCAACCTTCTCTCTTAGAAGGCAGAACTTTACACATATCTAGTATAACAACTCCAAGGACAACTGGTCCACACCTCCTGTGTCCAGAGCACCTCAGTTCCAATCCTGTGCAGAAGCTGGGTAGTTGCCTTTTGGTCCTATATCCCAAATCCATGAAGAGAGAATCTGATTGGTCCAGCTTGTGTCAGTTGTCCATCCCTGGTCCAATCAAGTGTAACCACAGAGTAGGAAAAGAGGTCACATGATACAAACCTGGTGATCAGGCTCAGACTTGTAGGTGAGTAAGTGGTGTTGGGAGAAGTTCCAAGAGAAACATGATTTCTGATCCGAGCAGAGACTCCAAACTGTCTGCTCTATGTAGAGAACGACTTCTCCCAGCAGGTGAAGCGCCTCCCAATATGTACAAGTCTGTCGTTTTCCCCTCAAATGCCCCCAAGTGTAATCAGGTCTCCATATAGAACCACATTCATTTAATCCCAGCATTCATTTATCAAGAATTAAGCACATGGGAATTCTCTGGTGGTCCAGTGGTTAGGACTCTGTGCTTCCACTGCAGGGGGTAAGGGTTCGATCCCTGGTCGAAGAACTAAGATCCCACGTGCTGGGTGGCATGGCAAAAAAAAAAAAAAAAAAAAAAAGAATTAAGCACATGGGAATTCTCTGGTGGTCCAGTGGTTAGGACTCTGTGCTTCCACTGCAGGGGGGAAGGGGTCGATCCCTGGTCGAAGAACTAAGATCCCACGTGCTGGGTGGCATGGCAAAAAAAAAAAAAAAAAAAAGAATTAAGCACATAGCCCAAATACGTTCACTGGTGAATTCTACTGATAACATTTCAGGAAGAAATTCTACCAACTCTATAATGTCTTTCAGAAGACTGAAGCAGAGGGAAGCTTCCTAACTCATTCTGTAAGGCCAGCATTTTCCTAATACTAAAACCAGAAAAATGCATCACAAGAAAATAAAACTATACACCAATCTCTCATTAACATAGATGCAAAAATCCTCAATAAAATATTGGCAAATCGAATCCAACAATGGATAAAAGGAATTATACACCACAATAAAGTGGCATTTATCCCAGGTACACAAGTCTGGTTCTACATTTTAAAATAAATTAATGTAATCTATCACGTCAACAGACTGAAGAAGAAATCACATAATCATATCCATAGATGCAGAAAAAGCATTTGACAAAATTCAACACCCTTTTACGATGAAAACTCTCAACAGACTAGGAATAGAGGGGAACTTCCTTAGCTTGATAAAACACACACACACACACACACACACACACACACACACTCTACAAAAAAATCCTACAGCTAACATCATAATTAATGGTGAGAAACTCAAAGCTTTCCAGCTAAGATCAGGAATAAGGCAAGGATGTCCCCTCTTACCACTGCTTTTCAACATTGTACTGGAAGTCCTAACTAATTCAATAAGACACACAAAAAATTCTTTTTAAGGTATAAAGATTGGGAAGGAAGAAATGAAACTGTCATTGTTCACAAATGACATGATTGTCTATGTAGAAAATCTGAAAGAATTGATTCTAAAAAACCCTCCTGAAACTATTAAGCAATTATATCAAGGTTGTAGGATACAAGGTTAATGTACAAAAATCAATTGTTTTCCTGTATACCAGCAATGAACAAATAGAATTTGAAATTAAAAGCACGTTACCATGTCCATTAGCAACCAACCAATAGAATTGAATACTTAGGTATAAATCTAACAAAATATATACAAGGTCTATCTATGGAAAACCACAAGACTCAAATGAAAGGTATCATAGAACTAAATAAATGGAGAGATATTCCATGTCCATGGATAGGAAGACTCAATACTGTCAAGAAGTTAGTTCTTCCCAGCTTGATCTACAGATTCAATGCAAACCCAATCAAAACCCCAGCAAGATTTTTTATAGATATTCACAAACTGATTCTAAAGTTTCTGTGGAGAGGCAAAAGACCTAGAATAGTCAATTCAATATTGAAGGAGAAGAATAAAGTCAGAAGACCTATACTACCTAATTTAAGACTTACTTTTAAGCTAAGTACTTTATAAACTATAGTAATCAAGACAGTGTGGTGTTATTAAAAGAATAAACAAATAGATCAGTGGAACAGAGTAACGAGTCCAGAAACAGACTCACATAAATATAGTCAACTGATCTTTGACCAAGGAGCAAAGGCAACACAATGAAACAAAGACAGCTTTTTCAACAAATGGTACTAGAACAACTGAACATCCACATGCAAAAATATGACTCTAGACACAGACTTTACACCCCTCACAAAAACTAACTCAAAATGGAACAAGACATAAATGTTAAATACAAAACTATAAAACTCCTAAAAGATAACATAGGAGAAAACCTAGATGACCTTGTGTATGGTAATGACTTTTCAGATACAACACCAAAGTCATGATCCATGAAAGAAAGAATTGATAAGCTGGACGTCATTAAAATTAAAAACTTATTTCAAGAGAATGAGAAGACAAGCCTGGGGGAAAATATTTGCAAAAGGTGCATCTGATAAAGGACTGTTATCCAAAATATACAAAGGACTCTTAAAACTCAACAACAAGAAAACAAACAACCTGATTAAAAAATAGGCAAAAGGGGCTTCCCTGGTGGCGCAGTGGTTGAGAGTCCGCCTGCCGAATCAGGGGACGTGGGTTCGTGCCCCGGTCCGGGAGGATCCCACGTGCCGCGGAGCGGCTGGGCCCGTGAGCCATGGCCGCTGAGCCTGCGCGTCCAGAGCCTGTGCTCTGCGGCGGCAGACGCCACAGTGGGGAGAGGGCCGCCTACCGCAAAAAAAAAAAAAAAAAAAAAAAAAAAAAAAACAAAAAGGAAACCATCAACAAAACAAAAAGATAACCTACAGAAAGGGGGAAAATATTTGCAGCTGGTGTGACCAGAATATACAGACAGCTCATACAACTCAATATCCAAATTAAAAAAAAAAAAAAAATAGGCAAAAGACCTGAGCATAGACCTCACCAAATAAGATATACAGATGGCAAGTAAGCATATGAGAAAATGTTCAACATCATACATCATTAGGGAATTGCAAATTAAAACAATAAGATTCCACTACACGCCTATGAGAATGGCCAAAACCCAGAACACTGACAACACCAAATGCTATAAGGATGTGGAGCAAAAGCGATTCTTATTCCCTGCTCCTGGGAATTCCAAAATGGTGCAGCCACTTTGGAAGACAGTTTGACAATTTCTTACAGAACTAAACATACTCTTACCATATGATCCAGCGATTGCACTCCTTGGTATTTACCTAAAGGAGATGAAAAGTTATATCCACATAAAAACCTATACATGTATGTCTATAGTAACTTTATTCATAATCGCCAAAATTTGGAAGTCACCAAGATGATTTTCAGTCGATGAATAAGTAAATAAACTATGGTACATCCGGACGATGGAATACTACAGAGCACTAAAAAGATATGAGATATCAAGCCATGAGAAGACATGAAGGAAACTTAAATGCATATTATTGCATGAAAGAAGCCAATGTGAAAAGGTTACATAGCTTATGATTCCAAGTATATGACATTCTGGAAAAGGCAAAACTATGGAGACAGTGAAAAGATTAGTGGTTTCTAGGGGCTTAAGAGGGAGGGAAGGATGAATTGGCAGAACACAGAGGATATTGAGGGCAGTAAAATTATTCTGTACACCACTACGATGGCAAATGCATGTTATATAATACATTTGTCAAAACCCATACAACACCAAGAGTGAACCTTAACGTAAACTATGAACTTTGGATGCTAATGATGTGTCAACCAACATAGGTTCATTGATTGTAACAGATGTAACAGATGCTCTCCAATGGGGGATGTCAATAGTGGGGGAGATTGTAAGTGTGTGGGGGGAAGGGGCTATGTGGGAATTCTCTGTACTTTTGGTTCAATTTTACTGTGAACGTAAACTACTCTGAAAATAAATTTTATTAACTTAAAAAATAATACAAATTTAGATCCAAAGAATTAAATACATATGGCACTGAGGACAGACAGCATGGGGGGGTGGGGAGTTGTCCAACAGTTAGAAAGAAGGGAATGTAAAACAAGGAGGGAGGGATGACGGAAGCGTGGTGGACTGGCGAGACTGCTGTGCCTTGACCATTGCAATCCTAAAACTAAGCTATGCGATGAGGACTTTGTAACGTGACTTGAGGTCAGGTAGGGGAAGGCTCTCTTTTAGGGTAAGGTACAAAATTTACGTCTCATCCTCAACCCAGTCAGGACCCTTGGCAAGGGATTTACCCATGCTGTGCAAGACATGATTATTATAGATACTTTGTGTCATCAAGCCTGCTAAAGGGAAACCTGATAGAACAAAAGCAAGGTGGAAATGGGGAGCAAGGCACCCAAACCCCAAGTCCTTCCTCCCGCCATCCATGTTCAGACACTAAGCTTCTCCTCCCACTGAGAGATGGAGGTGGAGCAGAAAGACAGAATGTGTGTCACGGACAATCCTGCCAGAGTCAGTGGAGCTGTCCGTAAGCCTAAGAAAAGGCTGGGGCTTGCCACAGCAGAAGGAAACCCACAGACTGGGAAAAGGGAAGAGGTGGGGACACTGGTGGAAGTGGAGGCATTAAAAGTAGGGTTTCAGATTTAACAATAAAAATACAGAAAGCCCAGTTAAATTTGAATTTCAGATAAACCACAAACAATTTTTCACTATAAGAATGTCCCATGAAATATTTGGGATATCCATATATTTTCAAAAGCATTCAATGTGTATCTGAAATTCTAATTTAACTGGGTGTCCTGTATTTTATCTGGCAACCTGGTCAGAACGGCTGAGGCGCTGGGCATGTAGAGAGAGGGAGTCATGAGAAAGGAGGACGGCGCCTGAGGGGGACAGCCTCCTGGCTGGGAAGGAAAGCCTTCTTCTGAATGGTACGTTTAGATCAAGGACACAGCTGCACATTTTCATCAACTCCCCGGCTCTGTGATTCTGTCACTTATGCACCTGGACTAAAGAACTGATGCGCTTTGCTTCAGGGTTCCAGGCACGTGTTGGCTTAGCAGAGAGGAAGGAGAGACTATACACCCCTACCCCCGCTTGGTGGCAAGCAGCTGAGACACCCTTAGTGGGCACTGGGGGAGCGAAGGGAGCTGTCTGGGGAGATGCTTGGCCAGAGACACAGATTCCCCTGCCCAACCTTCCCTGCTCTCAAAGGAACCTTTCAGAAACACCCTTGGGCCAGCTTTTAATGACCAGGATGATGCATAATCAATCACTGGTATGATATACCAATGTACTTATTTATTGATACCAAAAAACGTGCCCACTCACTTCGATTTGTGGTGCACCCACGGGATCAGTTACCATTCACTGCTTTCCACTAACTGGTGGCCAGTCCCGTTCACAAGGAATGAAGGAAGATTGGGCTGTGCAGAGCCTTCCATTGAAGCCTCTTGTCAGAAAAGTTCCACCTCACACTGTCCTCATCGTGGCCTTGTGTTTTTGCCTTCTGAGTCTGGGCTGAGTCACAGGAGATTTTAGACAGGTTGTCTTGTTTAGGTCCATGCCCATCTTTGTCTTTATGAAATATGTGGCATTTTCATCTCATATATATACACGTTTGAATCTTAAATAACTGGAGAATTTTCTCCGGGCACTTCTGGTTCTTGCTGGTTTGGTAACATTACTTCTGCTAACTTTGGTCATTTCCAGTAATTCTCTCCCTCTCTCTCTCTCTCTCTCTCTCTCTCTCTCTCTCTCACACACACACACACACACACACACACACACACACACACAAGCATAATTATACACTTTAATTCCTAAATGCTTTTAATTGGTGTATCCCATATTTTACAGATTTTTATGGCTTCCAATAATAACAGTAATCAGCACTGTATGTACATGTATGTCTTTATAGGTATGTAATTAAGATTAAATTATCCACTTTATTAGGTATCATCTGTTTGAATAAGTGCAAAACAAGAAAAACTATTTAAAAATTGGGTTTCTGTAACAGCAGTGTTATGCAAACTGCTCTCAATTCATACCTAACTATAGTGCAGCTTAATAATTATATCATTAAATTTATCTTCTGTTACTTCAACACTGAATGTCATTTTCTTACCTTTCGGAGCTCAGTGCCCACATTTCATGGTCATCTGCTCACACAGCCCGTCCTCTAAGTCATTCAGAAAACATTTGAGTGCCCTCCGTGGCTCTGTGCTAGGTTCTGTGGCTACAGGGATGGATACTATATGGTGCTCTGTCCTGATTTAACAAACTTATAATAAATAAATCATGACATAGCATGTTAGCTCCCCTTTAGGGAATTTGAGAAAAGCCACCATGAGGAAGTAGTGGATGACCTGGGCTTTTAAGCATGAGTAGGAGTTTTCCTCCCCCTACTAACTTTAATCCATGTGGGAAGAGACACCTTCGAATCCCCCAAGGCACACAACATAGTCTTTCTTCTGTTGTAGGTGCTGAACAAATATGCCGAGATGAATGTTTGAATTATTTTTGTCCAGTCTACTTTATAAAACTCATTCTGCCCCACTCTGCAAGAGGAAGGGAGTCAACTGAAAACACATGCTCCCCTTATTCAAAGCAATATCCAAGTTGTCTTGTTGTTTCCTTCTTTTACTCAACAAATATTTACTGAGAGCCTTTTTTGTACCAGGCACTATCCTAGATGCTAGGGATGCTGCAGTGTGCAAACTCTTCCATTCTAGATGAGGGAGACAGATAATAAACAAGACAAATAAAACATGTATTATGTTAGGTTGTGATCAGTGTTATGAAGCAGATCAAAGCAGAGGAGAGTGGTTAGGTAGGCCCACTGAGAAGGTGAAGGAGGTGCAGGAGTTAGCCAAGAGGGTATCTGGAGAAGAATTCTAAGCAGACTGAGCAGTGCATGCAAAGGTCCTGAAGCAACAGGATGCTTTCAGGGAACAGCAAGGAAGTCAGTGTGGCTGGTGTGCAGGGAGCAAGCTCAAGAGGCTGGTGGAGGGGTGCAGGTCAGGGACAGTTTTGCAGCATTGTAGGAACGTGGCTTTTTCTCTGAATGAAATGGGAGGGTTTGGAGCAAAGGAGTGGTACAGTTTGCCTTACGTTATAAAAAGACAGCTCTGGCTGATGTACTGGGACTAGATAGGGAGTCGGGGGAAAAGGTAGAGACAGGGAGGCTTGAGAAGAAGAGAAGATACTAGTCATCCAGGTGAGAGATGATGGCAGCTTGGACCAGGATAAGAGCAGTCAGTAGAGATGGTGAGGTGGGCTCATGTGTTGGCCATATTTTGATGACAGTAGAGCCAACAGAATTTCCTCATGAATTAGATATAACATGTGAAAAAAAAAAAAAAAGAAACAGAGGAATAAGAAATAGTTCCAAGGATTCGGGCTTGACGAACTGAAGGATGCAACTGACATTAACTGAGATGAGGAAGATGCAGGCAGAGCACGTTTAGGGGTACGGCTAGTACTCTGATCTTGGAAATGTTGAATGTAAGGTACCTCTTGGTAGAGATCCACTCAGAGCCACCCACGTGGAGAGGCTGAACATATACATTAACAATGGTTGTATTACATACAACTAGACAACTCCAGACAACTAGAGGTGGGATTTTAGACATTTCTTTCTTTCTCTTCCCCCACTTCTCATTTCCTTTCCCCCCACCCCTTGGTTCTTTCGAATTTCTCAAAAATTTAAATGCAAGTTTTACTTCTACAATAGAAAAAAAATAAGCCAAGTTTAATTTTTAAAAACAACATGACTTATGGGGGAGGAATAACTGAGTATTGCTTGTGTCGAAAACTTGAAATTCAAGTCCATTCAACAAGCATTCTCTGTGATCCTACTACAGGCCAGGCGCTCTGCTAGGTTCCAGGGATACCAAGATAAATGGTTCCTGCTCTGAAGGAGCTCACAGTTCAAGAGGCTCTAGGGCCAGCCTCAGTCAGTGTTGTAATCAAGGTCCAAACTGAGAACCTGGGGAGCATGAAGGAGGGAGGTAGCAGTGAGGGTGCACAAAATTCCTGTACCATGAAAACTTGACCCTGGGCCACACTGAGTGTAATTTTAATGTAGGATGGAAGCACACAGCAGGTGACAGATGGGTAATCAGGTCACTCTTTACTGAAACACAACACACATGCCAGGGGAAGTCCAAGGACATCTCTGGAACAGGCGAAGACCCCACCCCCTCCCTACACACGTACACCCAGGCATATGTGAGCCAGGGTCCCACTGCCATGACTGGGTAAGCCCATGGCTTGCTGATCTACATGGGAACCTTCCAGGTAACATGGCTCCAGTCGTGCTGAGGCCCAGGCCGCAGGCAGCACTGCCCACTTCCACACATGGCAGTGCCTGATCACAGCTGATGTTCTTCAGCCCCTCCTGACACGCAGCAGGGAGACTTGGATGGGAGACATAAACAACACATGCAGTTTACGGTCGAGCTGGTGGGCAAAAGGGAACATATTAGGAGGCCAGCAGCACTTTCTGAACCTCTTGCAGGCTGGGCATAGGCTAGGTCCTTCATGCCATTTAAACCTCACAGTAACCTTAGAAAGCAGGTAGTACCAGCCTCATTTTACAAGGAAGGAAAGTAATACGGAGTAGCTTACCGAAGGTCACACAGTTAGGAACTGGAATTCACACTCAGGTCTACGTGGCGCCAATGCTTGTTGTTTGTCTGACCCCTGAGCCTTTCGCCAGTGGCCAGTTCCCAGCAAGAACTGACACCCAACACCTGCATGGGCTGGTTCCTGCAACTCTGCTCCTGATCTGCTCCTATCTCCCTGGCTTCTTTCTGACCCCTGAAATAGTTTCCAGTTTGAGGGGCTCAGATCTGACATATCCTTGGCTTCCTTCTTCAACCAGGATTCACACTTGCTACTTGGATTATCCATGTGCAGTGGGAATTTGTCACTTATTTGGCTCTCCCACTTAAAAACCCCATGCCATGTTCAGGGACCTCCTTATTATGGGAGTCCTGATAGGCCCCCCTTCCACTAAGAGAACTTCTAGGGCCCAAATATTCCCTCTTCCCATCATCCCCTGGAAGCAAGATGGGGGCACAAGAGTTAGGCTGAGCTGACTCATTCTAACCTTCCAATGACTCACACCATCCCCCAAAACCCTAACCCTAGAATTCCACCACTAGAAGCTTTGTCCAGGGATCTGTGTTTTAGGAGAATTTTCCCAACTTCTACAAGTATAATCTTGGTCCCCATCTAGAGCGTACATCTATGGGGTTTTTTTTGTTTGTATTTTGTTTTCTGTCTAATATCTCTATTTCCTTTGGGGCCTTTCCTTCCCATTCCATGTGGTTCAGGTTGGGCTGTCAGTCATGGTGGCCCTTCCAGGTAAATGAGATCCATCCTTCCCTAGTATGATATGCAGATCTTGGGAGAGGTAAGTGCCTTGTGAATCTAGGGCTGTCACAGCCACCTTTCCTTACATATTAAGAGACTCTGAGGAATGAAGGGAGCAGAGCTGAGATGGGGAGAGAAAGAGAAAATCCTGATGATCCTGTTTGAGCTTCTGGATCCAGCCATAACTGAAGCTGGGCAGCCACCTCTAGGTTTCTCAGCCAATACCTTGCCTATTGTATAAGCTATGATGAGTTGGGTTGCCGCCACTTGCAACTGAAGTCCTGCCTATCTGCCCATTTATAACATTGACCCTCTCCCAGGGGCCTGAAAGCCTGATCTTCCTAAAGCCTGAGGAAATTGGGATGAGGGAAAGAACGCTTTTTTTACATAACAGAGAAGGGGAATTCAGAACTCAGGAAAAACAGGCAGAAGCAAAGCCAGACAGGGATTTTTAGATCTCACTCCTAATACTCCATAAGAAACTAGACCCTCCCAGGTGTACAGTATCTGCTGTATCCTGCAGATCTTCCCCAGGGTCTTCGAGAACCTCTCACTCTACTCTACTCCCCGGCACACAAAGTGCCACTCACCTGCTGCATCAACCTCTCTGCCACTCTGGGGGCAGTGAGGTCTTCTGGGGAGGCCACGCTCAGCCTCAGGAGGAGGAAGCCTCCATCCTCACCTGCAAGTTGAGAACAGTAGGAAGATGAAAATATGGGTAAGTCATTTCAGGAATCAAGATGTGAACTGTACTACCCAGTCTCTGTCCCCACGCTGCATATGTGTGCTCACACTCGTGTGTAAATGAGTCTGTGTTCACATAGGATCTTACCTCTATTCACTGCAAAGAGAAAGGATTCCTCCTCTCCAGTAACTGGACCCATCGTAGTGTCTTCCCAACAAGAGGGAAGGAAATGATGGCTAGAGACCCCATCCACATTTGGAGAAGTCAAAAGAGTAGTGTGAGGAAGGAGAAATGAAAGTGGATCTAGAATGTTCTCAAGGCCTGGAGGCCCGGATGAGGCTGTTGGGAAAGGGGCCAGCCGGGGAGATGGCTGCAGAGAGGCTGGTCTCTGAGGGGATGCACTCAGCCAGTGCTTCCAGCTCCAGGTTGGCAGAGGTCTTTCAAGCCAGCCTTCCTGGCTTAGCAGCTTATAGGCAACTTCCGTCTTTTCTTGAGCCCTAATATGCCTGCCTTTACCTGCCACATTTTAGTCGTCTCTTCCTATTAGAATACTATTAGAATTGATCCAGCAATTGCACTCCTAGAAGTTTATCCTACAGAAAATAACACACATGTGAAAAATGTGCTATTTACTGCAGCGCTGTTTGTCATAACAAAATATTGGAAAAGACCTAAATGTCCAAAAAGAGTCACGTACCACAATGTTCATTGCAGCTCTGTTTCCAATAGCCAGGACATGGAAGTAACCTAAGTGTCCATCATCGGATGAATGGAGAAAGAAGATGTGGCACAAATATACAATGGAATATTACTCAGCCATAAAAAGAAATGAAATTGAGTTATTTGTAGTGAGGTGGATGGACCTAGAGTCTGTCATACAGAGTGAAGTAAGTCAGAAAGCGAAAAACAAATACCGTAGGCTAACACATATATATGGAATCTAAAAAAATGGTCATGAAGAACCTAGGGGCAAGACAGAAATAAAGATGCAGACCTACTAGAGAATGGACTTGAGGACATGGGGAGGGGGAAGGGTAAGCTGGGACAAAGTGAGAGAGTGGCATAGACATATATATACTACCAAATGTAAAATAGATAGCTAGTGGGAAGCAGCCACATAGCACAAGGAGATCAGCTCTGTGCTTTGTGATCACCTAGAGGGGTGGGATAGGGAGAGTGGGAGGGAGGGAGACGCAAGAGGGAAGAGATATGGGGATATATGTATAGGTATAACTGATTCACTTTGTTATAAAGCAGAAACTAACACACCATTGGAAAGCAATTATACTCCAATAAAGATGTTTTTAAAAAAAAAAGACCTAAGTGTCCATCCATAAAACACTGGTTAAATAAATTATGGTAAAACAAAATACTGAGGAGCCATAAAAAAGAATAGCCTTGTCTCAGAGATCTGTGTTTAACATATGCTTGAAACACAGATTTGCATGAAAAGGAAGATGAGAGATATTATTCTATATCTATATGATATAGTATCTATGTCTATATTATATCGATACAATATGTAGATCTCTTTCATCTTCCTTCTAATGCTTCCATATGCATATTTCATGTCCAGAAGAGGATTCACAAGAAAGTGATACCATCAGTTATGTATGTAAGGAAAATTGGGGAGTTGGGGGACAGCAATGGGAGAAAGACATTTTATGGTGTACTTACTGAATTTCAAATCATGTGAATGTATCATCTAATCAACAAATAAAAGCTTTTTAAAATAAAAATATATTAATAAATTGAGCCTTCAAAAATAAAAGCACAACAGGAGACTGAGTTTTGGAATCAAACAGACTTTCACTTGGAATTCCACTGCTACTTTTTTACCATCTTTAAATCTATTTCCTCATCTGTCAGGTGGGGTGTAAGAATATCCACCTCATAAGGTAGTTTTGAAGGTTTAGTTAGAGGAGATAACATGCAAAGCTCATACAGTAGTATACTGCCTGGCGTCAGAGAGAAACTTCAGCTGGTGCCAATGCTCACTAGCTGTGAAATATTTTTATATCACCTCTGCCTGGAGTGCAAAAGATATTCAGTAAGGTGGTTGTGATTAATATTTTTATTTCACCCCCCCAGAAAGGCAGTGCAAGCTGAGGATACTGCAGGGATGAGGCACAAGGAAAGAGTGAAGGGAAGTGGAGGTGAAGGCTATAGGCTGACTGGGAGCTGGGCTGACAAGGCACCTCTTCCCCGAGAAATATCTGTTGTCTTAGAGATGTAGCTATCTTTCTTTCTTTTTTTTTTTTTTAACATCTTTATTGGAGTATAATTGCTTTCCAATGGTGTGTTAGTTTCTGCTTTATAACAAAGTGAATCAGTTATACCTATACATATATCCCCATATCTCTTCCCTCTTGCGTCTCCCTCCCTCCCACCCTCCCTATCCCACCCCTCTAGGTGGTCACAAAGCACTGAGCTGATCTCCTTGTGCTACGCGGCTGCTTCCCACTAGCTATCTATTTTACCTATCCCACCCCTCTAGGTGGTCACAAAGCACTGAGCTGATCTCCTTGTGCTACGCGGCTGCTTCCCACTAGCTATCTATTTTACAGTTGGTAGCGTATATATGTCCATGCCACTTTCTCTCAGCTTACCTTTCCCCCTCCCCGTGTCCACAAGTCCATTCTCTAGGTCTGCATCTTTATTCCTGTCCTGCCCAGAGATGTAGCTTTAGACTCCCAAACCTTTGCCCAATTTATTTATTTATTTTAAGTCACCATTTATGGCACCAATCCCAGCAAGTGCATCCAGTGAGCTCCATTTTCATGGGGTCCCAGCTGCTCAGAGGGCAGCAATTTGGGCCAGATGCCCACATGGTATGACACTGGCTGAACCAGAGACGTTCAGATAATGAGGGCTGTGTCTTTTAAGTAAAATTTTGGTCCTTGCCTGGTGCACAGTAGTTACTTAACAGTCAACTCTGTAGAATGGCAGAGATGGAAAGGACTTCACTGCAACCTCCTCCAGCAACTGGTGGAGAAACTGAGGCCCAGAGAGGGAGAGGGACCTGTCCTAGGTCACTCAGGTTGTTAAGGACAGAGACAAGATCCCAAACCATTTCTCCACACTTTTTCCATACACCACCTTAATTCTGCTCGTTACTGATTTTGGCAAGAACCACTAGAAGATTGTGAAGAGGTGACATCAGAGACAGGGCTCAGAATAGGCCCCCAGATCCTTCCTTTCTCCCTACTCCCTAAACATGCAGACTCCAAACCCCAAATCCCCAAAAATCACACATGGGGGAAGCTGCTCACCTGCAGTAACATCTGTCAGACTTGTCTGAGCATTGGTGGGCGTGGCTGTTGAGGGTTTCCCTTCAGCTGTGCTGGCTATCTTCAAGGTCTTTGCTGAGGCTGTGGTCTTGGCTAAGGTGATGTTTTTTTCTTGGCTGTTGTTGGCCGTAGCCAGATGGACAGAAGGAAGGGGGCTCCTGCTGTTGGGAACGGGCACACTGAATGTGATGTCTGTGGTAGAAGTCTCTGAGGGGGTGGAGCTCATGATGGTAGTCACTTCAGACAGGCTGTAGACCGTAGCTGAGAACCCAGCAGGGGAAGTCACCTCGCCTACTGTTGACACAGTCCCTGTGGAGATTGTAACTGCTCCTGAGACCTCAGTGTGGCTTGTTGTCTCAACAGAGAGGGATGAGTTTTCTTCCAAGAGGTTCATGCTAACTGTCACCAAGGTTCCACTGGGGGCCGTGGCCTTGGCGGCTGTTGTTTCCATTTCTGTGGTGCTACTGATGGTGAGTGTGATGTCAGGTGTGGCTGATTCTGTGGCGCTGGCTGTTGACAATGTCTCAGCAGAGGTGGCGGTCCTGGCGAGGTGTGATTTTGCTTCAGTGGAGTCAGGCAAAGCTGATGTCTCAGGGGTAGACAGGGCCTTTCCTCCCGTGGGGCTGCGATCTATGTCTGAGGTCCCAGGGGTGCTGGCAGTTGCTTCTATTTCTATAACACTGCAGTTGATCACCTCGATGTTGATGATGTTGTAGGTAACCAAGGCTTTAGCCAGAGCAGCGATGTCAGATGACAGGGCTTGTGAGGTGGCGATGGCTGGAACTGAGCTGTCAGAGGAAGCGCTGCTCTCCGAGGACAAGGCCTCGGCTTCTGTAGAGGTGTGAGCTAATTTCAAGAAGTCTACCATGATTCTCTTTGCCTCTTCAGAGCTGTCGAAATTGCAAAGGGTGTCAAAGGTGGCTTTCGAGAGCTCAGTAACTGTGACGGTCTCAACTGTGCTCATTCCACGTCCCGTGGGGCTGCCGCCACCTGTGGCTGATGTCTCCATAGGAGTGCTGATCACAGCCGAGGACTTGGAAGGCATTATTTTTATGAGGGCCATGGTCTCGTTTTCCCTGTTCTCTGCTACTGAAATGGTGCTGCCTGGGAGGAAGGTCTTATCAGAGGTCTGGGTGCTTAGGGTTTGAGTTTCCAAAGAGATATGGTTTGACATAGAGGTCTCAGTGAGGTCAGTGGTCTGTAAGACTCCCTCTGAGCTCGTCCTGACCCCTGGAGTCACAGCAGGCACTTCTGTGTGGCCTGATTCACTGGTGCTGGGGCCTGTATTGGGTAAGACCAACTTTGTGAGCTATGAGTCCCAGGGCACTGACTTCACACAAGCTCTTGTGCTTATGCCCTGGGCACTGCTGGGAGGAAGGTGGGGACGGGGACTGCTTTTACCCTATTTTTCATCTATATATTCAAGGAAGAGGAGGCACTATTGGGAAGACCAGGCCCACATGAGGCAAGCAGTCCCCCGAATCTAGTTGATTATTGGTCTGAAACCATCCGAGTGAATGTGTAGGGCCAGGATCCAGCTTCAAGGGGGAGCAAAAAAGGCAGAAGACCCAAGTGAGCCAAGAACTGCAGAGCAGGGACCATGACTCTTAGAACTTTCTGGAAGAATCTTGTCACTTTCTTTTTTTTTTAATGTTTATTTATTTATCTATTTTCTTATTAGTCATCCATTTTATACACATCAGTGTATACATGTCAATCCGAACCTCCCAGTTCATCACACCACCACCCCCTTGTCACTTTCTTATCAATTCTTTTCTCATCCAGTGACTGTTTCCCCATGGAAGTAAAACACTTCAACCACAAGAAACGTCTGTGGTTTTGTGTTGAGAGGTAGCTGCGGGGATTGGAGGAGAGGAATTTCCTGGACAGTGATTGGCTGTCACTGTCTGACAGTCACTGGGTGATTGGCTGCTGCAAAAGAGGGAAGCAGGCAGAGTCCCCGGGGCTCTAGCAAAGGAAAAGGGCAAGCTGCCCACCTGCTCAAGCCTCTCCTGACCGCGGGCCTTAGACGGCAAGGATGAAACCCTGGAACTCCAGAAATGATGAACCCAGCGTCTTCCACAGGAAACAGGGAGCCAGGTGAAGCAAAACTGTACTTTTTAGAAAGATGCTGCTAGCGTGTCTCCCCAGGGCAGGATGTCTCTGCTCACTGGACCGACACTCTGAGGTCGTGTGAGTGGAGGGCCAGCAGGCACGCATTGCCCAGGGGAGGCTACAGCAAATATTTAGGAGCTGACAAGGGTGCCTCTCCTGTCTACAGAGGGAGAGGGGCTCTCTCTGTATATAGGCCATGGTGCCTCTTGAGGAGGGTTGCCAGATTTAGCAAATAAAAATACAGGATGCCCAGTTAAATTTGAATTTGAATTTCAGATAAACAAGGAATTATTTTAAGGACAAATATTTTTAGTATGTGTATTTCTCATGTAATATTTAAGACATACTTATACCGATAAACTCATTATCTGAAATTCAAATTTAGGTGGACACCCTGTGTTTTATCTAGTAACCCTACTCTTGGAAGGAAAAGATGAAAATATAAGCGCCCTTTTTCGGGGTTCTTACAGTTTAAGATGGTCTTTCCTGAGACCTACTGGCCCCAAAGTACCCAAGGGCCCAAAGGAGGGCCAGGACCCTTTGGTCACCTCTACCCAGGGTGTCAGGACAGGTCCTCGGCTTGTCCTCTTGTGTCTCCCATTGGATAATGAAGCATCACTGGGCCAGGAGGCAAGAGACTGGGTTCTAGTCCCAGGTCTGTTGCCTACCAGCTCTGGAGTCTGATGATTTTACTGGTGCAAATACTGACTCTGTCCCCTACAAGCGAGGGTCTCATACCTGCCTTGCTATGGGGGTGAGGACAAGAGGGGAAGGGGAATGGGGAAGCCCTTACATTCCAAAGCCTGCAGGGGGTTATTAAGCATCCCTCCCTGACCATGTCCTTTCAAGGAGTCACCTGAGAGCACACAACCTACTTTCATATAGCAAGAGTTTCAGGCTGTACCCACATGAGGATTAGGTAGTCAGGGCATTCGCTCTCATTACCTGTTCAGTGTGGTCTACCTACACACACAAACCACGCTTTTACAGAAATATACTTGCTTCTCTCCACTTCAAAGCCCGAGGTACTTCTCTGAGCCTCTCAGTCCCCACAGGTGGAGGCAGAGCCCTTCTGCGGCCGCCCACACAGCCTGAAGCTCAAGCTGTGGGGTTTGACCATGACCTCTCCTCACACATTTTCTTCCTTTCTTGGGAGCCTTGTGGGGTCATCTTGCAGTGAAACCTCCTCATGCTTCCCAAACCCATAGCCTCTTCATCTCTGGGGCCCTCACAACCCCCCACCCAACTCTCTTACCCACTGGGGGTCTTCTCAAACAGAGTAAAGCCCACCCTGGCTCTTTACAGCTCTAGAATGCTGCAGCTCTCCTGACCCATTCCTCAAATCAAACTGGTGGAGAGGAAAGCATGTGGACTTTGGACTCTGAGTTCGAGTCCCCTCTCTGCTGCTTGCTCTGCTGCTTACCAACCTTGTGACCCGGCCAATTCTCCCAGCTCCAAGCCTACATTTTCCCATCTATGGAATGGAGCTGGGGTACTATTTCATAGGATTGTGAACATTACATTAAATTAAATGTCAAATGTGCAGCACAGGACTTCCCTGGTGGCGCAGTGGTTAAGAATCCACCTGCCAATGCAGGGGACATGGTTTCGAGCCCTGGTCTGGGAAGATCCTACATGCTGTGAAGCAACTAAGCCCGCAAGCCACAACTACTGAGCCCACGTGCTGCAACTACTGAAGCCCACGCGCCTAGAGCCCATGCTCCGCAACAAGAGAAGCCACCGCAATGAGAAGCCCATGCACAGCAACGAAGACCCAACGCAGCCAAAAAAAAAAGTTAGAAAGAAAAATGTGCAGCACAAGCCTGGTAGATCATGAGTGCATGCAGGAGGCAGTGTGGTCCAGGGGTTAGGTATGTGTGGAATAAAAGCCTGGCTCTGCAGACAAGTTACTTAATTCCAGTAAGAAGCCTCAGTCTCCTCACGGTGGGTGGGGGGCTGGACGAGAGTAAGAATGAGAATTTTATCTCACAGGGTTAACTGTGAGGATTAAAAGGATAGTGCTGGCTGAGTAGAGTTGCCTGTGCTATACAGTGGGTTCTCATTAGTTAGCTATTTTATACATAGTATCAGTAGGGTATATATGTCAAAATGTCATCAAACTGTATATATTGTGTTACAACTTTTTCCATTCAATAAAACATTATGGGTATATCTATGTCAAAAAAAAAAGTGATGATCACAAAGAAAAAATAGAAAAAGATAGTGGTGGGAGTATATGGGAAATCCCTGTATCTTCCTCTCAATTTTGCTGTGAAGCTAAAACTGCTCTGAAAAATAAAGTCTTAAAAGATAACACATGGGCTTCCCTGGTGGCGCAGTGGTTGAGAGTCCGCCTGCCGATGCAGGGGACACGGG